CGCCCGTACGCGGCACCCAGGCGTCCGCGGGGGATGATATTAAAAAGTGAGGGTTGCGCACGATATGGGCAGCACATACTTCCAAAGTTTCAGCCTCCTAGCTTTTCTGGTTCTCAAGTTGAAACTGGATGACAAAAAGTCCGAACACACACACACGCACACAGATGCATACACACAATGCCTCTTCCTTATATGCGTTTTTGTATTTTGCATATATGCAAAAACGCTTATCGGGAAGAGGCTGTGTGTCTGTGCGCGTGTGCGTGTGTGTGTGTGTTCGCAAAGTGGCTCGCAGGGTTAAGTATGCAAATCAGGCTCGCGTGTCACTAAAAATTGCCCATGTTTGCTCCAGGTGCGCCGGTTGTGGAGCTATGTCAAGTTTCGCGGTGTTCACACGTGAGAAGAGACGTGGTTTCTGTTTCCACGTGCGCTTGCTCAAACACGGTCTTCAGGCAAGTTTAGAAAATTTCAGCCCTCCAACTGCTTTGACTGCGAAGTTATGTCAAATTACAAGTGTTCGTAAGTGAGGAAGAAAATTAAAGGTTCTTTTTATGCGCAATCGTTCAACATGGTCGTGGGCCATGATCAGAAAATTTAAGCGCTCTAGCTATATTCGTACGTGAGACACGTAAGAAACGTGAAAGTTGTTATTACGTTCACCAAGTCGAACGCAGCCTTCGGCCACGAACTGAAAGTTTCAGTCCTCTAGCTGCTACAGTTGTGAAGCTACAAAACTGTCCACAAACTTTTACGTGTCCGCACTTGAGATGCAGAGGGCTGGAAGGCTCAATTTACTTTCACGAATACAACAGTTGGCAACAAGCAAAGGTGCAAAAGCAAAATTCTCCATAGTTTCTTGGTCAGCTTGAACTGGCACGTTGCCACTTTCAGATGAAAAATCGGTGTAGACACATGTACGCACACAGACAGACAATCCCCTCGACAATATGCGTTTTTGCACTGCACAAATGCAATCCAGGCTGGAACGCACCTGACTCTTCGGTGCGATCATGCGTTTTTGCACTAAACTCGCAGATCGCTATTCGCAAGAATGATTTCTATGCTACAGCCTAACACTTGGGCTCATATTGGCAGTGCTTTGATCCTTCTCGGCATGCAGGAGGATGGGCGTCAGTTGGGATGAGAGTGGTGTATTATATAGTCGCACAGAAATTCAGGCATGATTACCAGTTTTTTGCGTGAAGTCCGGTCGTTTTTTCCGTAAATGCTCGCTTTGTGGAAAAATGACAATGCAAAATTTTTTGAAAAAATTTCCAGTTCATTAAAAATTGAAAGTATTGCTCGAACAGTCGTTTGTCAATAAATCCATGTCCACTTACATATACGACTGCGGTAGATGTTCGAATTGCGAACGATTTTTGGGTTAAGGAGCTGCTTGAGGCTGTGGTTAGGGAGCTCGACAGCTGAGTTTAAAATCTTTAGCTCGCAAGTGCACAAAGAATATCCTTGCAAAGTTTCAGCTTTCTACCTTGCCTGGTTCGCTAAATCGTTTCCCGCCAACATATTTCTTTGCGGGTTCCATACGCGGGGTCTAGACGCGTGTGGGGAAAGATCTTAAAAAGAGAGGATGACACACGGAGTAGGAACATATGCTCAAAGTTTCAGCCTCCCAGCTTTCCTGGTTGCTGAGATGAAAGTGGGTGACAAAATGCACTCGTGTTCGAACACACACACACACAGACAGCCTTTCGACAAAATGCTTTTTTGCTGGCTGTAGCAGCGCTATAGCGTTACACAGCAAAAAGGCATAAAAAACGCATAAAATTGTCTTTGAGGTTTTCTGATGACGATTGGTAACAAGTGGCGCAGAAACCT